TACAGCTCATCTGTGGCAGGACAGCAGAAGTAGAGGAATTTGCACATTTCTGGTCATGCCATGAAATGTTGAACGTTTGTGACATTGTTCAACACTTCTCCTCCTCCCCAAGAAAGTTTACTTCAAAGTGCTGTATGTTTCAACATTAGTTTATGGTTCCAAAACACTGACCATGTCCAAAAGAATGTGGTCCCAGATATAAGAAGCTGAACAGATCTTTTTCCATGGGTGGCCATACTTTCATGATAAAATAAGGAACGCCTAATTCTAGAAGTTTTCTAGGAAGGTCCCACTGGGAAGAGACTCCGGGGCAGATGCAATAATTTCTAGAGAAAATATGAATCCTATTTGGCCTGCTAATGTATTAGGATCCCAAAGGTGGATCTGGAGAGCATTGTTGGGGATGGGGATGTCTGTGTTTCTCTCTTTGGCCTGTTGTCTTTGTGACCCAACCACTGATTAAAGATTAATGATTAATTATAAAATTAATCCAGAATGTTAGACCAGTTTAATGTGATCCTAGGTCGATTATCAGGTCCAATAATGTATACAGGGTACCTGAGCCCGGCTCCATTCATACGCATCTGCAGAGTATCCTGAACCTTGCAGGCCAATCTGAGCCACTCTCTTGCAGTCCAGAAGCCCTTCCTCCACACTGTCTGAATGGAGTCCCATGACCAAACTTCTCTCCCAGTATCATGTCACTGGTGTCAGCATGAGCATCCACATGAATCTAAAAAAGTTCAATCTGGTCCTCTGGACATTCAAAAAAAAAAAAAAAGGCAAAAAAAATGTAGATACTTTCATCTTTCATCTGAAAGACTTCCTCAGTCTGAGGTGCTGTATTCAGCTCAGTCTCTTAAATAGCACCTTCTCAGAGTGGATCAACCAGTTTGCTGCTGACAACCAAAACCAGCTGCTCACATGGTCAAGAAAGATCATCAGACTAACAATGGATCATTAGCACACTGATGGCTGTTTACTATTCACAGGGGGTTGAGTGATGCTAGCAATAACCGCATTGTAAGAGGGGGACAGTTGAATCCGGAGGCCTCCACCCCCGTTTAATGATGGACTATTTCTTTTCACAAAGATGGCCTCCTTTAAGCCACCAGTATATTGTTGCGTATGTCCGTTCATGCATACGTACGCGTGTACCGTACGCAGAGGGTTCAGACTTCAGACTCCAGCGTGCACCCCGAGCAGCTGCAGAGCAACTTCACAGACAAAGGGCGTTTACCTTTGGGACAAATTGAGGTCGCCGATTGGTCATTTGCTGACACGCCTATTGGATTGATTTACAGGTTGGGGAAAAGAAAAAAAACGAGCGCTGGCAGCCTCGGCCACAGTGGTGTTCTGTGTTTATATGTTGTTAATAAAAAGGTCTTAAAAAAAACAAAAACAGGGAGCGCTTGCTCTGCAGCCCACACATCAGACCAGCCCACCACGAAATCTCCAGACCCTCCCGCAGCCACTCTGGACCTGGGTTTAATTCGCTCGTGACTGCTGGTTGTGTTAATTAATCAGGAAGTACCAAGTAACAGGAAGTGGATACCCTTTAAAAGTCAACACTTTTTGGAACTTACAAGTCTTACGGCAAGTCTTACTGGAACTTTCAGTTCTTACTAAAGTCTTAATGGAGGCTGGGGTCTGACAGTTTCTACTCTAGAAGCTGATGGATGTTGGACCATGAGCCAAGGGTCCGTCCATTTCAGCGGAGTCACAGCACGCCTCGCTGTGATCTCACCCTGAGCATTAAATGCTCTCAACTTCTAAGGAAGCTTATTCTGTTGAACGGAGTACCTAGACACTACTTCGGAAGATTCCCAGCCACTCTGACGGGAGACGCTGAAAGGGAGCGTGAAATGGACCTCTGTACCGGAGCTGATTTATCTTCTGCAAAGGTAACGAGTCGTCACGCACCGAGTGTACCGAGGGCTGAGCTGGGGTCGAATGAAGGGTGCCATTCCTGGTCAACACATTTTCCTTCCTCCATCTAAATCCTCCTCCTAAACTTCTTTACTCCTTCTCTGTAAACCTCTTTGCCAGTAAATCAAGCTAAATGCCTTCAGAGATTAATTATTCTCCATCAGTAATCCTCTGTTGTCTTGTTATTTGAACTTGCTAAGTTTATTAATCAGAAACAGATCAGCCAATCAAGTGTGCATGTTTGATGTTAAATTTTGATTCTGTTAAATAAATGACCGCATTTATTCTGATGGGTCAAAGATAAATGATGTCTCATGTCACTAATTATACACTCCACTCTCAAGTTATCTTGGTCACATGGAAGAAATTTAACTCGAAAAAGAAAGAATCCGTTGTTAATTAAACAATTAATATTCTTTGTGCTTGAACTGGCCTTAAGAATAAATAATTAATAGGATGTCCACAGCGAAAGCTGTCCTGACTTACTACATCTGCGTACGTACGTACGTGCGTACCTCTGCATATGGACGTACGAGGGAGTATACTGGGGGCTTTACTCCTCTCTCAAACCATCGTTCCTCTCTGTCCAGGATGTGAACATCTTCATCCCTGAAAGAGTGACCGCTGGCCTGGAGATGGGTGTAGTCCGCAGAATCCTGGCCTGATGATGTTGATCTTCTGTACTGGGCCATCCTTTTGGCCAGTGGCTGTTTAGTTTCCCCGATGTAAGACTGATTACAGCCCTCCTGACACTGAACAGCATACACAACATTACTCTGTGCCGGGAGACTGGATCTTTGGGATGAACCAGTCTTTGCTGTAATGTATTTTGGGGTTTAAAAGCCACTGGGACATTATGTTTAGAAAATA